GGGGGGAGATTACATGAAGCCATCTAACTTGACCGTACCAGAGTAATATTTATATATGTCACCATGTTCTTGATTCATGTCATCTTTATGCACTGATTCATTTACTGCTCTGTTGGGTGAGGTACAGTATGTGAATACTGGGATACATAATAATAATGTTGTACATAAGGAGAGGACTCATTCTGATGAAGAAGAATAAAATGTAATCGTATATGTCAAAGCACTACAACGTCCGATTTCACTCCAAATGTGCTCAGAATATAATTACCAGTACAAGGCAACATTTCTTAATGAGACGTCAATGACCTTTTAACATATGTTGAAATGACCTTAAAGGTTGTTATTGATGAGGATTTATTGGCAGCAATTTAATGCATATCAATAAATCATTGTTATACTAGTTCAACTAATATATACCAATCGTGTGTGTACTTGTTTACGGTATAATTGCCTTACATACCATTGTTTGTTTTAACAACCCTAAACCCTGTGTTTTCACTGCAGCCAAAAAAGGTCAAATTACTGTGTCAGAGTGTGCATTAATTAGTAGCAGGAGACAAATTTATAAAAATCAATTTTCGAAAACATAAACCAAGCATTTTTACTATTCATTGCTTAAGCTGGGAATGTATCACGCCCCCTCCCTCTCCCCTTATAGTTCACTTGTTCATTTGCGTAGCATTACAGCCGCTGATTCAGTCTGTTTCTCACCAGTTAATATTTTACTAGCACCAACTAAACCCTTTGTCAGTGTAGAAGAAGAAAGTCCAGGCAGATGAATCCACCACCATGAATCTCTGGTGGCTGATTATAAATGACTGATGGAGTCTCCTTTAAATGATGTTGTTTCACATTCTCCCTTCACGTGTCGTTTTCCTTGGTCAAACTGCTGCAGCCTTTGGTTGGTGTCACTGACATAATGCAAGCCCCCCTTTGTGCCCATCTCTGTCTGTTTCCTCTCCTCCACCAGGCCTCAAAATGGCTCTATGATTCTGTACAACCGCAAGAAGGTGAAATACAGGAAAGATGGATACTGCTGGAAGAAGAGGAAAGACGGGAAGACCACCCGAGAGGATCATATGAAGCTCAAAGTGCAGGGAGTCGAGGTGAGAGGCTGCAGAGGAACAACAAGTCGATGGCTGTTTGGCACCGGGTTCAGTCTTCTCTGCCAATCTTGTCCTTAACTTACTCTCCTTCACTGGGAGGAGACACGCGTGTAACACAAGTGTACGTGCAAACACACACTGTGAGGGGATAATACTGTATGTGTTACCTGAGAGCCAGTGGTGATCCCTCCCCACCGCCAACCTAATTTTACCCCCACCCTCCCCTCTCTCTCTCTCTCTCTCTCTCTCTCTCTCTCTCTCTCTCTCTCTTATTCTCTCTCTTATTCTCTCTCTCTTTTCTCCATCTCTCCCTTTCTCTCCTTCTCTGTCACTCCCTCTTTCTTTCCCTCCCTCTTTTCCTCTCTCTCTCCCTCTCTCTCCCTCTCTCTCTTACTGAAAGATAAGAGTGTGTTTGGCCTTAAGCCAGGAATGATGTCAATGCCTCCTTCAGCAGAACAGAGAGGGGTATCGATCCAGTCTCAAGGCAGAGTCTGTGTGTGTGAGTGAGTGAAAGCGTGTGTGTGTGTGTGTGTGTGTGTGTGTGTGTGTGTGTGTGTGTGTCTGAGTCACGTCACCGCGCT